TTTCAGCTCGTAGTTTTTGGTATGTAAAAATTATCAAACTCATATAAACTTAAAAAATGTGATAAGCTTTTAAAAGTAGAGATTTCAAGCTTTAAAACCCTTTTTTTAAATTTGAATTTCATTCATTATTGACGAAGATATTGTATATACAACTTTGAGCTAAAAAATACGCGACTTTTTACTACACCTAATATATATATATATACACATGTAGTATATGTATATACCTATATTTTATATACCTATTATGTATGTATATACCTATATTTTTTTTGTTATATTTTATTTTTATAGGTGATAGCGACTTCAATAATTTGGATCATACTAACAGCTGTATACATAACATCGAGGAGAACAATGTTGTAACAAATGAAGATAATATACAATGTAGTTCATCACCTGAAAGTCAAATTATGCAACAATTGCAGTCGATACAAATGAGTCTTCCAAGAAACTTAGGAGTATTGGTTCAAAAGGCATTAAATAATTTAAATGATAAACAGAAGGTATGAGATTAAAAATATGTTACAGAGTACAAACACACACCCAGCAAACGAGAATGGATTAAAATTTTTGTAATACTTTAAATCTATGAAAATGAATTGAATAGATTGAATCCGAGCTGACACTAGTTTAATATATATATATATATATATATATATATATATATAATCGGAAAAAAAACATTCATATTTAAGGGTTACAAATTTTATTCCTAAGACATTTATAATAATTATATCTGAAATTAACTACTTCAAATTAGTATTTAAAAATGCACCTTAGTGAGATTCGAACCTCTGGATTATGAATCGTCTACGTTACCCGCTACACCATTTTTTCAATTGGTAAATGTGTTATTCATTCTCTACTTCAATTACAACCAGCTAAACTAGTAACGACATTATATAGATATAATAAAAAAATGCCATATAACAGATATAATGAAGTATAAACAATTTACATTATTATGGCTCGGTTGTACCAATGTTACTTTGACTTTAAGCAAGACTTAAAACTCTCTCTGTCTCGTTTTAAAGCCGAAAAAGAGGTGGAAACAAAGAGAGTTTAAGCCTTGTTTAAAATCAAAGTAATGTTGTTGCAATCGAGCCTATGATATTGATAAGTGTTGGATAATTTAATCTCGTTTGGCCAATGTTGCGCACCGTGATTAGCCTAATATTCGGGCTGTGTTCGATTTGATTTGCAAGTGTTCACATCGATCATTCACTTTACTTCTAATCAAAGAGAAACAAAAGGAGACATAACTTAATTATTTTACATAACAACTTTTACATAACAACTTTTTTATTTTTACATTACAACTTTTTTGAACTTAGTTAAATTAAAACAAAAAATTTCCTACTTATAATTTTGAATAATTTAAGTAGCATTTATGATCCGTTTTTAAAAACTTTTTTTATTCAATTAGATTGAAAAACTGTATTTTATATTCAGAATATTGAATTGAGCAGTATTCACAACGCACAGAAATTGCTGATATTATTTTTAAATTTAACTGAATTAAAAAACTGGACTTTCTATTCACAATTTTGAATTGAGTAGTATTCACGATGCACAGAAAATGCTAATATTATTTCTAGATTAAAAGGCATAGAGATATGCTCTATGCAATTCCTATAAATGAATAAAAATGCATTCAGGATTGAAAAGATTCATTTTAATATTCATGAATCTGTATTTCTGAAAATCTGAATCCTTTTAATCCATTTCAATCTATTCTCGTTTGCTGGGCACAGAACAGAATATCTCAGCAAACGAGAATGGATTGACGAGAATGGAAACGAGAATGGATGGAGAGACGGAAAAAGATATTGAATTTTGTAGAGACTGAATCCGTTTCTATACATTTAGATAAATATAATAAATATGAACTCTAGTGGATTCATATAGATTTAGAAATGAAAATATGCTAGTTTACGATCCCAGAAAGTGATGTATCGTTCTGGGAAGTACGCATCTAGATGATCATAAATATATAATGCGTTTCTTTCTAAATGAACCTTAATACCATACATACAGTATACAAGATTACAGATTTACGGCGATTTACGTGACTTCCAAATATAACCTTCACTATCGTGAACAGGGTCTAGAAATTGTCGCCATTATACACTTCCGCAATGTTATACACTTTGTATATCACGGAGTTCAGGAGGCAAAGATTTATGTATATCACCTTGGTGTATGCTTTTTAATGATATATCACTTGCTGAGATCGACGACTAGTTGGTGGGTCTCCTTTGTTAGACAATTCTTCAATACCGCACGTTAAATTGAAACAAATTAGTTGCACGTTCATTGCATTAAACATTAGGTAAGATACCAAAAATAAATTAGCAATACATAATTACGAATTCAACTGGATTGCACGTTTCATTTCTATGCACATTGGGTGGAATGCAGAAAGTAAATAACTAATCCGTAATTACCTGATTTAAGCAAATTACAGATAGACAAGTGATTTAAAAAAATTTAAAAACTTGATTTGATATCGCTTGAATGAATAATTTTCAACATTTTATAATAATTTCTCGTTTGCTGGGGTCTCAGCTTTTTGAGCAAGTATGGATTAAACTGAGTCAAAAAGTCCTATATCATTTTGTAATTTTTACAATAGTTAATAAGAAATGGTAAAGATTTAGTTGGAGGGAACCGAGGCATCGAGTGGCGGCTTGCTGCTTGGTGCAATTGACTCGCGATCTGTAGTTCCGGGTTTTATCCCATCTGTACTTACATATGCGATTTTTTAATTCTAACAAAGAGAGACAAGAATTGTAAAATATTGTAAATGGAATGAGCCATAACTCATTCAAAAGGAGAGATTGTGCGTTTACTAATATTGTAAAAGGGTTTGGGTGTATGAGGGCTTTTGATTTTGAGAAAAGTGTACAGGGTGTATCTGAAATAACGCTCACTAATCATACAGTGCTATTCTTAATAAAAAACTAAATCGAAAAATCTACCATTTTGCAATTTTGCAATTTTTAATAGATAAGGAGATATTAATTTTTTAGAAATTGGGGCTTTTGATTCTGAGAAAAGTGTACAGGGTGTATCTGAAATAACGCTCACTAATCATACAGTGCTATTCTTAATAAAAAACTAAATCGAAAAATCTACCATTTTGCAATTTTGCAATTTTTAATAGATACTCTTGCTTCATCTAATATCGATTTAATACCTTTCTCTTACTAATGCTACTTCTTTCAAGCACGTTCAGACGTATCTCGAGAACTTTTTTTGTCATTATATATTTTCTTTTTACTCGCCATAACTTTCAAATTACTGTCAGTGTCACTAAACGACGTTATGCACGCGATTTCCAGATATATATTAATGGCGTCGTGTAAACACTAAAACATTTTTATAGATATATGATAGCAATGCAATCTATATATATCGACTAAGAAGCGCATTTTGATAGATAAATGGTCCTATATACCTGCGGAGCATATAGGACGCTGGCGCGCTCCGACACTTGGAGCCGGTCCGAGCGCGGCGAGGCACTTCACTAAGCAGCTCTAACTAATAACATGTTAGAGATGCAATTTCGCTACAAAACTGTTTTCATCGCATTTGTTTTCTAAAAGCTAACGATTTAAGCAAAAAAGAAAAAAAATTCGATTTTTTTCAATCCTCAGGGATATCTAATCTCTCGTGCGTGCGTGCGTGCGTGCGTGCGTGCGTGCGTGCGTCCGTGTGGATAGGAGAAGAGGAAAATAAGGTTATTGAGAATTAAAGGCGAGAAAGGTGATGCAGGAGCACATTGGCATGAGATGCTTGTATAGAACGGTGTAAGGGGTGGAATATAAACGGTCACTAGTCTATCCTCTTCATTGGAGGGGGAAGAAAAAGTCTAAAAAGCCGATCCCAGACGATCGATACGGGATCTGATTGATATGAAGGAGATGGGAACCGATCTAGACGAGAAAAGGGAAGGAATCGCTCTTTGAGAGAAGAAGGGGAACAATTAAGAATCTTCTGGATGGCAGGTCAATGACAGAGGGAGTGATCAGGTCTATAGGTTGTGATTCTTCGGAGACTGGCGAGTTCGATATCTCTAAGAACTGTCGAGGCATAGGATGGATGGAAAGTAAAGAAAGTACATATCTAATGATGTGAATGAAAAATTTTTATTCACATTTGATTACATCATTTTTTTCATACGTATTAAAAACTAAAGCCAATAGCTCGCAATCGACAAGCTGATGCTTCTTGAAGATGTTGCTATTGCTTGTAGCGTCTTTGGGTGTTAGAGAATCGCGTATACTTGACATCGATCGTATCGATGAGTGGGATTAATCGTTCGAACGTTACATCGATACATCCGTCAAATTTAAACATATGGCGTAGTGTCGTTTCAGTTATCCTAATGTGGATGAAGAATCGAGACGTACGAGCATAGCATCGTTCAGCGTGCAAACTCTTAATTCGGTTAGTGGTCCAACGCTTATAAAATTGTCCTTGTTTGAAGCATCTTGTAAATATTCCATCGTTGCTCGTAGAGGCCCTTCCACGTTGCGAGAGACAGCGACAGTTTGTATCCGCGATGATCTTCTAGGGCGATCTCCACGTAACTCGGTGGACCAACCACCGTTGATTACAATTTTCAAATACTAGCCCGTACTCGTCAGGTTGTAACGTCTGTTCAGTAAACGTACTGCGCGATGCTCCGCGCATGCTGTATACGTACATAATGTTAAAAAACGTTTCTTTTTGTGTATAGAACGTTGAAATTTATATGTTACTGCAGTCTTTTTTCATTTCGTACGATGCGCTGTTCTCTTTGGCAAAGTACATTTTTAACCATTCGTGTAAGCGGGTATCGCAAGACTGATCGTACCTGCGTAAATTGTGATGGTAAAACTTCTAGCATCGAAAAGGGAGTAACCCCTCTCCTCTTTCTAAGAATTGTGAACGTGTCGTGACACGTTTTATCGTTTTTTTTCTACGTATTTTTTTTGTTTGCGAGTTTATTAATGTTTATACTTTATGGCTTATATTTCGATGGCATTGATGACGTTGATAAGCACGTTGGCGACTTTGATGCTTTTACCCCAGGGCATTTCTAATATTTCACTTTTTCCTTTGATGGCGATGGATTTGATAACAAGGGACGGTACCCTTTTCGCTCGATCGATTTTCGACGTATATAT